AGAGGTTTTTTAGCATCGGCTCGATCAATTAAATGATCTGGAACAGTATACGTGCACGCCAAAATTGCCCTGTAATCAATGGTTAACTTGCAATCATTGTCTAATTTCTCAACGAAACAAAAAATTTTTGAAAGAAAATACAACAACAACGCCAACAAAAACAACTTAAAGATTGTAAAATATTATTCGTTAAAGATACCTTGAAGGTAGTGGCAAATGTTCGTATTTGAAAAGTTGATGTCAATCGTAAGAGAAGTTTATAACTTGGATGCAGTGAGTCTCGCGCTCAATGTCATAGGCATGTGGCAACTTTTGCATAATGTACCACTTTATATGATAAAGGCTGATTGAAACAAATTATCGAGCACAACTGAACATTAAGAATTAACGATGGAGTCACGGAAAAGGAATCATGTTACTAGGCTGACGCGGAATACTGGTAGGACGGAACGTCCCTCTTTCTTCAGTGGAGCGTTTGTCAGGTGAAACTATAAATTATCCTCACGCAAACTGAGGATTGGATTATCGTTCACACGAGATTATCTAATATGATGTTTACTGATTTTAATGATGATTCTCTGACTCATTGCCATTGAGTCTTGTTTCAGTTTTGTTCTGTGCAGACGTCATAGCAAACAGCTGTTTCGTGAGAGGGCCTCATTTTAAAATAATTACCGCGTAATTGCTCAAAAAGACGAATGGTTGCCGTTCTGATCGACTTCTCTATGTTGATATGTTTGTGTTAGCGTCAAATCCATGTTTATTTTTAGCAAGGGGAACAAGTTTTCATATCTTGCAAGTAAAATAGTTGATTAAGTAAAATATTCATGTTTATTAAAAGATGGACAGCTGTCTTAATATCATGTCACATACGAGCTTAGCAAACCTTAAAAGGAAGTATTTACATGTCTGGATCCCTCTCGAATATTTTACTGTTAAAGTTGTCCATTTTTTTTAATTAATTAAGACCTTACATGAAATTCCCAAAGGTATCGAAGAAGTCAGTTTTCCGAGAAGTAACGCCAAACTACTATTTTTCTTATCAAAAGTATTTTAAAGTCATCGATATCATAGGCTTAGAATTGTTACTGAAACATTATTCCGTTTACTGCATAAATAGCATACTTCATTTTTCCTACAACTCTACCTGTCAAAACGCCAATGCACTGGTGTTGCTTGGTAAAGAAAAGATTAAATGAGCATGTATACGGCTTAACAACTCATAGCTCACGAGAGAAAAAGATACAGAAAAAATTGCCAGCTACGTGAGGTAAACAGAATGAAGATCATGCACTTTTCTAACGCCTCCTTCACTCGTTTATTTTGATCCAGAACCTTCATATTAACGTCAGATCCACAAATAAATGGTTATTGAGACAATCGTNCGGGCTTCGCCGATCGCACAGTATGTTGGGTAACAAAAATAAGCCCGGCGAGGATAGCCAGCGGCCTGCAGTCCAAAAACAATAAATTAGTAAACACATTTCCATTCGATGTTGATTGGTCGATCAAAACAATGCGGTCTTGACAAAACCTCTCGAGGGGACCAGGGGAGCTAACGGGTTTGTTTTTGGACTGCAGGCCGCTGGCTACCCTCGCCGGGCTTATTTTTGTTACCCAACATACTGTGCGATCGGCGAACGGGCCGCGAACGTTTCAAGCAGCCAAATTCGAAATTGGAAAGCCGATCGATCTGGAGATAAAAGTATCGCTAGTGAAAGATCTGTGGGAGGAATTGTGAATCGAGTGAATGGAAAATGGAACTGCAACATCTCTGCTTTGATTTTCTGGAGGAATCGAGACTGGTGGTAATTTTTTGGCGGAATTATTTGCTTCGGGCGACGGACACTTCTAAAATAGGTTTCCGGCCTTGTCTTTCTTTTAGTAGTTGAACACCAACATAGTGCTAACTCGCCGAAAACGCTTCAAAGTGGCCTGAGACGCTAAGAATCAACAAAGAAAACAACAAGGCAATTAGGTAAGCCCATTTTATTTCAAAACAAGGCATTTTTTTCTCTCTTTTACGGCAAACCGATGACATCCCATACAAACCTTTATAAATATAAAACGTTGCGCAACACGGTAAGAGTCACGTCCGCTTTTCTAGTAGTGAGCTTGGGTTGCCTGTGGTATTGTAAGCTGAAAGATGCCTATCTGCCAGCAAATTATATGATTTGTGAGATGGATTTGAGACAGACAAAAACAGATCCATACATAATTTCATGCGTCTGTCATAAAGCGAAGCTAAACCGTGCCTTTCTAAAGAGTCATGGTATGACAGTTCTGGTGAAATGATGGATAATGCGCGTCTTTGGACCCTTTCAATGTCATCACCAAGATACGCAGGTAACGCATGACGGAATATTTGTATATTTCTGATCACCCCAAGCTACTTTGCAATGGTGAAAACGTTTTCATTAAAGTTTCACCTAATTCCTCGGAGTTTCAACTTACCTGGATACTTAAAATTTCTTTAAACGTACCTTAGCGCCAATGACCGTTCTTCTATGGATTGATGTTCCCAAGCAGAGTTTATAATTTGGAAGGAATGGAAATCTTTAACTCAACGAGGTTTATATGATTGTGACACATTTAGTGCTAATAACTACTTTTTAAAGGCTGAATTGAATGAATTATCCAGCACGGCTGAACGGGAACAACAAAACAGTCGAGTCATGGATAAGGAATCATATCACTTAACCGGAATATAACTAAGTCGTTTGTTATGAGTCAATATTGAAATTGAAACAACATAGCACGCACAAAATATGTACAACAAACCTTCACGCTATCAATGTATCCCCTGGAGAGATGGTTAGTATCTTGTGGATTCATTTTATGCTCTTCAAAGAGAAAAAAATTGAAATCTATTATTCTAGCGGTCATTTCCGAAACTGTCAACTTTAAGCAGGGACTTTATGGTATTGCTGGCACTCCAGTCTGTGGCCTTTCAGCCAGTCGTCCAGGAAATTCCGGAGAACCATTATACCGGTAAATGATTATTTTGTGTTATGTGTTCGTAAAAAACGTATTTCATGAAAAATGAACGATAATACTAGTTGCGGCTATCGTAAGTGCGATCCCGCCGATCTCCGCCGCTCTCTCGAGTCTGTAATTGAGCCAAACTTGCGGCATGATGTTAGTAATTTTTAAGTTAGGTCTAATTTCTGACCAATCTGCCTGCAACATCAGAATAATTTAATCGGAGAAAACAATTGGACTGTTAAGACTTAAAACCGATGTTTTTTTTTCCCGTAGGTTCACAGACACAGTGTCATCGTGAGAGCCGCGAAAAAAATCGTAAAAATTAAATAAATTTGTTATCTGGAAAAGCTGTCTTGACTTGTCAATAAGTAACTGTGTAGCTGTGAGAGATTACCGCTGTTGCTCATAAACTTTTATTCCATTTGGTGGCTTCTAAAGAAGCCGTTTTCATAAAAGCGGTATTTGGCTCGTTGGATACGTCCGGCGAAATAACTCTTCGTAAACTTGATCTGAATATTCTCTTCTGGGTGGGGAACTGTTTTGCGGCTTTATTCATCTACGAAGGAAAGCGACTTCCCAAGAAGCAGCTTCAAGTTGACTCCGTAAACCCGTTTCTAGATAGGATGCTTGCAAAACAATATTGAAGGTGACGTTTATTGATTCTCACCCTCAAAAAGGATATGTGAACACCTACGCACTATGGGGGGAGGGATTAGGAGGCAGCGAGAGTACACTATGGGGGGTAGATAGGTCATGAGAATTGAGTAAACTATCATCTTTGGGTAACTTCCTGTGAGTTAAATCAAATAAGCTAAACTCTTAAATGGCAAAATGGTCAAAACAAATCTATTTTTTTTCTGTAGCCTTTTTATTCTCATACTTCCCAAAGTAAGTCAGTCTAATTTTTGTAACAGTTCGCAGTGTAGCACTGAGAACCGTCCGATAATGTGTGATGATATGATTGTACTGGTTGTGCTTGTAGCGCCAAAAAGAATTCAGATGCTTCTATCTTATTTCCTGTTGGATATCGCTGTATTATAAATTGCAACATCATTTTAGGAAATTGAAAGTAGAGAAAAAAATGACTATTTTAAATTTTCTTCGCAAAAGGCCGCGAATTACATTATTTCATTATAATCGAGTTTTACGCTGCATACAAAATTCTAAATTATATCAGTGAACCTAACCTTATTTCTAAAATAATATCTTTACCCTCTAAGTTTCAAAATATGTCAAGCAAGTTTTTTCTCCAGCTAAAATGATCTCCTTGTGGATAGCAAAGAGAATTTGGCTTTATCTCAAGAGAAAACAGCCTATAGCTGATGCGTTTCCCAATAATCATCTTTTGATTGTGGAACAGCGTAGTGATAGCATAAGGCGAAGTCATATGTTAATAACTCCTGGAAGTCCAAGACAGTTCACAAGAAAAACTTGCTAAAAATCACGTAAAGGTATTTCCCCCGGGTTTATATGGTTTGGGGTCATGCGTAATATAATTTGTTTTATTCCTTGTCTTAATTCTGGCATCCGCATGGCGTAGACTATGGGGTTTATTAGCGAGTTGGCCAAGTATAATGCCACCATTATGATTTGAAAGTATGGCACCCAAAAAGAGTTGATGAGTAACGGAAAACTAAAAATGTACATCCCAGTCTGTATCACTGATGGAAACCACATAAATAAAGACGTTAGGGTAACCATGAATAAGATACTCGTTAATTTTCTTTCCCTCGCAGCTGCTGCGCCATGGCGCGGTAAAGAACGACTTAAGTGGACTTTGATAAAAATAGAAATGTAAGACACAGAAATGATAAAGAGAAAAAAAAGAAAAGATGTAAAGTAAAAAATGCCACTGCTTGTGGCTCTTTCTATGAGTGCTACAGTGATATTTGTAAACCAAATTACAATTATCATAACTCCATAAACCCATTTTTGAATCAAACGATGTCTGAATGGGCACAATGTTGCATGCACCCTCTCTAATGAAATGGCAGCGAGATTCAGAAGAGAAGCAAAAGGGAAGCGCTGAAGTAATATGTTGAGCAGTTTTCGATGGCTGTCACTGGTCAAAGCTAATTCCCATAGGTCGCAAAAACTCCCTAACCAGTAAATATAAACTGGTCCTGAGACTGCCCCGACTAAGAGATCGACTATCGCCAGGTGGATGATTAAGTATGTACTTCGGCGCTTTAGCTGACGCTGCTTCACAAATACAATAATGGTGATGATATTAAGGATGACTATCGCTAGACATTCAGTGGTGACCGCAACAGTCCACGGGATGCACTCGGATGATTCATGAAGCGGCATCGTTAGGGATTGAGCTCTCGCTGGAGTTTTTACTTGTCCAGTAACCTGTAACAAGCAGATTCACTTCAAAAATGATTGTTGAATAAATCTACCACGAAAAAAAAAAAATATATATATATATATAAATAAAGTGTGACTTGATTTTCGTAGAACAGTGCTCAATACATAGAAGTAGAGCGAAGTATATATTGTGGGAGGAAAAAGACAAGTAAACTACAAGTTCATCCCTACAAGCCTGTTTCGTGGTCGCCCACTCATCAGGGGATTTAATGAGAATAAACTTTACCATTGCTTATATACAATATAATTTGCATGATCTAACTAGTCTAATTTATGCAGCGCGAAATTGACAGTTTAGTTGTTGCGTAGGAGGGCTTTGCTTCTGTGGCGGCATGAAGACACGAGTTCATTACGTTTGTTTAGTGTTGATAGTTCGGGCCGGCAGATGATTAGGAATTTTTCTTTGAGGCAGAGGTTACATCTTTTAGTTGAGCTGTTATACGGTGAGTGCGATGAGAGAATGCGCCAGGAAATAAAGTGATCGATGTTGTTGTCTTTGAGGGTCCAGATGTGCTTGCTGAGTTCGGTAGAGTTTCTGTGTTTAGCGTGGCGGAATGATGCGGTGTGGTTTCTGTATCTTGTTTTGAAGTCATTCTCTGTGAGTCCGATGTACGTTTCTGTCGTGTTGTTGTCTTTGCGTGTAACGGAGGCTTGGTAGATTACTGATGGTTGCAGGCAGTTTCCGTCGAGCGGGCATGTGTTCTTTTGTCGGCAGTTGCATGTCTTGTTGTTATCAATGGTAGTGGCGGTGGCGGNCTGAGGCGAATAATTGTTAAATATATATATATATATATATATATATATATATATATAAAGTGTGACTTGATTTTCGTAGAACAGTGCTCAATACATAGAAGTAGAGCGAAGTATATATTGTGGGAGGAAAAAGACAAGTAAACTACAAGTTCATCCCTACAAGCCTGTTTCGTGGTCGCCCACTCATCAGGGGATGTATATATATAAGTCGTTTGCAGTGAGCCCGATGTATGTGTCTGTCCTGCTGTTGTCTTTACGTGTAATAGTAGCTTGGTATATGACAGATTGTTGGAGGCGAAACAGGTCTGTAGGGATGTATCTGTAGTTGTTTTTTTCCGACTACCACACATTATACCCGCTCTACTATTCGTATCGAGCACTGTTTCACGGACACCAAGCTTAATCCCTCTACACCGCTCCAAGTTTTTGTTGAGCACTCTACGGCAACCCGCAGCATGGAAAAATTCAACCTCAGCTACTCTACCAAGAATATTCCGTTACCATCGCGCAACGACTATTTACAACGTCTCGTCGAAAAAACCAACCAATTCTTGAACAGAATGCGCTGGAAGGCCCACTTCTTCCTAAATCTTAACACCTCACCCACATCCAAAGAGAACTACGGCTTCAAATCGACCAAGAACCCTTCACCGATCGAAGAACTAAAGGACTTTGAGGACGACATGCTCAAGATGATACAGTCTGTAAAATTCAAGCAGGTGAACAGCCCTTTCCTCAACAAACTAAAAGAAGACACCAACCGCATCAAGAACAAACCCAAGCTACTGGTCTCAGCAGACAAAACTACTAGCTTCTACAAACTTAAACCCGCAGAATACAACGATCTTCTAGAAAAAAACGTAACAAAATCCTACAAGAAAGCCCTCCCCACAACAACGCAAGCAATCCATAAAACAAACAAAGACATCGCGACAAAACTACAAATCGATGACAGGATAGACGCTACAGCCAACAAAGACGCATTCATAACACTTAAAGACCACAAACCGAACTTCCCAAACAAAGCGACATGCCGCCTGATCAACCCGACGAAATCCGAAATAGGCAAAGTGAGCAAAGGACGCTATATGCATATGTATTCCCATTACAATCCCACAGCCTGAAGATTGGTCATTGAATAATATCACTTTACATAAACGATTACTACTGTCTGAAAAGATCTCTTTCAAGTTTTCAGTTGTCATTATATTTTTACGACATATATCATATTATCTAAGGTCAGATCATTTTGGCTTTCTCTCCGGTACCATTATTACCAGATGTTATCAAAGTACTTACCAAACGTATACCTTGGGTTAAAGAGCTGATTTTCAAGACGATTTGGAGACCTGGCCAGCCTGGGTATTCTGGCAGAGCAAATCAATCCTTTTGCGTCGGCTCCATCAGTTGAATGACCTGGAACAGTATACATACACGCCAAAATTGCTCTGTAATGAATAGTTAACTTGCATTAGAATAATGCAAGTTAACTATTACAGTTAATTGTAATGAATAGTTAACTTGCATTAGAGTAGTTTTGTCTAATTTCTCAATGCAACAAAAATATTCGAAAGAAAATACAACAACAGCACCAACAAAAATTACGAAACTTAAAAAGAATGAAATATTATTCGTTAAAGATACCTTGAAGGCAGTGGCTGTTCTTCGTAGTTGGAAAGTTGATTTTCGTAAGGGAAGTTTATAACTTGGATGCTGTGACAGTCTAGCGCTGAATTTCAAATAAATGTGGCAACTTTGGCATTAAGCACCGCTTTATAAAGGCTGATTGAAATATATCATCGAGCACAGCTGAACATAGAAAATTAACAGTCGAGTCACGGAAAAGGAATACTGGTAGGACGGAACGTCATACTTTCGTCCGTGGAGCGTTTGTTAGGTGAAAATATAAATTATTTTCACGCAAACTGAGGATTAGATTATCGTTCGCAAGAGATTGTGTAATATCAAGTTTATTTTAATGATGACTCCCTGACTGGGAGTCATCGATGTCATAGGTTGAGAATTGTTAATGCAAAATTACTCTGTTTTACCGTGAATAGCATGCTTCATTTTTCCAATAACTCTACCTGTCGATACGCCAATGCGCTTGTGTTGCTTGGTAAATAAAGATTTAATGAGCATGTATACGACTTTGACAACTCATGACGCACTAGAAAAAAATACAAAAATATTGCCAGCTATGTGAGCTAAAAAGAAAGAAAATGTAGTACTTTTCTTACGCCTCCTTCACTCGTATATTTTGATCCATAACCTTCATATAATTAACGTCAGATCCCCAAATAAATGGTTATGGAGAAAATCGTGAGCTACAGCTGTACCTTATGAAACACAATCTTTTGAGAAATTAATCATCTTGCCACTAAATTTGTCACTTTGCTCAAACAACCAAACGGAAAATTTCCAAAGTCGATCGAAAATTGTCTTAACAAACTAGTAATGGTTCTCTACTCTAAATAAAGAAAGAGGAAAATTTTAAAAGACTGCACCCACACGATAACAAGGAAACCTGTATGGCTAATTCTAGGCGAAGAAAAATTGTTTTGGTAGTGATGTTCGTCGTGATAGGTATGAGCAACTCGACTCAGCACCAGTTTCCTTGATTGAACGAAGACGTTTGCATGTTGCAAAATCCTGGATGAGTAAATTTTTGCCACAGTTACAGGAAAGCCGATATGTTTCCTTGCATTTAGTTATCTTTTTAAGGTTTCCTAAAGCTAACAGTGCACATGTTCAGTATCATTCCGATAATTAACAAATAAAGAAGTCTTGAATGTGTTCTGTTCTGTAGTAAAGTATGCAGTAAGCGGCTAGAGCACGAAAGAAATGTAGGGGGAATTGAATGTGAGACGTAGTCGATTGTTTCTCGTTATTTCTTTTAGTCATCGTCCATCGGAATAAACTATAGAGAAATAATGATTTTGCAATGGCTCTGAGGAAGTCCCTTTCGAACTGTTCGATTACGACCAAAGAATAGAGGTAGAAGAGTTGATAAAAATAAGAAACAAACAAAGAAACTCAAGACTATTAAGGGCAAAGTATTCTAAATATTTTATTTCGATATTTTGCTGATAATTTTCAACACCTCCAAATCTTAGTATAACTATTACGTAAGTGACTGCGAGTAGCAGAGCAATATGGGACCGATAGATTATGGCTACCAAATATTTTAACATACATAACGAAATATTAGCAGAAGCTTCAATTAATTCTCATTATATTATGCCCTTGGGAAGGATATGTCAACAACTCCGTACTGTAGGGGGGAGGGGGTTGGAAGGCAGTGAGAGTACACTTTATTACTAAGAGGGGTAGATAGTTCATGAGAATTAAGAAAGCTATCATCTTGAGGTAGCGTTCTTCCCCTTGTTCTTAAGAAGACAGACCGTCGAAAGGGCGTTTTCTTAAAACGACTTCTAAAGTCAAATGAATGTGTCTTGATGACTGGTAACAAGTGATGACCTGCCTTCTTCCCGATTTAGTTTATTGTAATAATTCAACAGCATAAAATTTTGACTCTTTAAAACGATTATCTTCTTTAACTTTTCAATATACTTCCTCTGCTTTGATTGACTCCTGTGATCTATTTGAACCCGATCTCACATTATAATCAGTCTCTAAAAGCACCAATCTATTCGCGTATTAAAATAATCTCGCTCCAATGCAAGAGAACTATTGATTGCAAATTGAATCTAGGACCGATATCATTCTTGGAAAGAGCTAGCGGGACTAGCTTGATTGAGATATCTTCTTTAGCTTAATTATGAAAGGATGATCTTGATCCTCAAAAATCTAAAAGACCATGCACGGAGTATGGGTTTAATTGAATAACCTAAAATTTTGAACGGCAAAATGCTCAAAACAAATCTAATTTTTGTTCTGAAGCCTTTTCTTTTCTCGTAGTTCCCAATACATGTCTAACTTTTGTAAAAGTTTGCAGTGTAGTAGTGGTTAGGCATTTACTGAATTAATAATACACATGAAAAAGTTACTTAGTTGCGGCAGTTTTCAGGTAATTCAGTGCAGAGGAGAGTTAATTCAGTGCAGAAGAGGGTTAATCCAGTGCAAAGAAAGTATCAAACCAGACATTCTGATTGGTCAATAAGCAAAGAAGCTCACATAATTACCAAACTCACTGTACAATGCCTTGAACTGTTCGGCCGAACTTTTTAAT